CCTTTTGCCAACTCAACGAAACGATTTTGAATATAGGTAAGTTGGCTAAAATCAACTGATTTTCATCCCAGGAGTCTACAGTCAAGCCATGTCCCCAACCAGATTATTTTTCTAAAAGATGCCTCCGATCAGAAATCATTTAGTTGCAAATGAATCTCGAGACTTATCAAAAATTAACACGATAGAAAAACCATTTCTGAAGGGAATATCTTTCTGGAAAAGAAAACTGGAAATTTCCAGTCCGACCTCTGAAAATATATCACCAAATTTGTACGGCAACATGGTTGTTTGAAACACTTGCAGGTCACTGATGATGATCAAAAACATCTTAAAACGTGACTTACAGTCACAGAACATGCCATGCCAAAAATTATGAAAATCAATCTTAGCCTACTCTTTTCATGAGCAAAATAATTTTTTCCCAAAAAAACTTTAACGCCCTATACCAACTCAACGAGACGATTCTGGATATAGGTTAGTTGGCCCTGTATATACAGAGTGTTCCTTAATGATATACTAATATTCAAGTGGCCGATTCTTCGACCCCTTTCGAGAATTAAACTTCACATGAACATATGTCGTAAACGTCCTAACTTTTGAGATACAGGGTGTCAATGTTGAGAATATGCATAGATTATTTTTTGTCCACCCTGTATAGCTCTTCGTAATGGCAAAATTCAGTCAGTTATGTGACTGAATCGGTATTCAAATTTCAAAATGTTACATAATGTGGTTATCCAGTAATGGATGTCCTGATTGGAGTACTCAGACATCAAAATTTGAAGTCTGGTCTCGTTTTTATGAACGAAGCGTTTTATCGAGTATCAACTATATATAATTTGATCTTTCTATTGCAACTTTTTGATTTTGATTTTTTTTTTAATTTTTCGAAATTTCTGTAATATTTGAAGAATTGTTAATCCCACGAAACTACTTCATACCAGTAGCTTTTTCATGCTACTTACTTTCAATTACTCATTATCACTGATTATGGACAGAAAAATGATTTTATTCAGAAAATGATAATACCCGCTTCCAAATTCTGTTATGTTTGATGCAAAGTTGATACATCGTCAAGCTTTTAGAAACGAAATTCATTTAAACTGATCTTTTCAGTACTGGAAAAATAAATTTGAATGAATTTCGTGTCTAAATGCTTGACTCAAACATAACAGAATTTCGATGTTATGTTTGCATCAAACATAACAAAATTTTGAAGCGAAGATTATCATTTTCTGAAGAAAATCATATTTTTGTCGATAATTAGTCATAATTAGTAATTGAAAGTTAGTAGCATGATCAAACTACTGATATGAAGTAGTTTTATCGAATTTACAATTTTTTTAATATTACAGAAATTTCGAAAATTTTTAAAAAATATCGAAATCTGAATGTAATAGAAAGTTAAAATCCGAGTCACATATCGCTGTGCTAGAACAAGGGTCAGACAACTTGAAAAACATAGTTTTGAGATAATCGATATTTAAGTTTAACAATGGTGATTTTGACGTAGTGAAACGATATTTTCATAGAATGTCTATTAGGTCGAACAGAAGACAATTGTGTTCATAATACATTTTTGAATCAAATTTCATTCAATTTATATCCACATCCAGTTGATGGGACTGACTTTGATCAAATTCAGATGAGATGATGAAATAACCTAGTATTGCTCAGTTTTGATGAAGATATATCGAAGTTGTCCTAATTCCGTTTATAAGATGTCCTAGTATTTCACCATATTTAGTCATCACTATTCAATATTATCTCTTTCCGTGGCAGAATTGTCCGACTATTGCATTAGTTTTTGGTGAATATATCGAAGATAAGTCTTTTTCATCGACGATATCCTACTATTTCATTCTATTGATCATTGGGTTGATTGATATAACCTTCATTATCTTCTAAGTTAACTGAGTATTTCGTTCATCAATTAAAGAGATTTTGTAATTTAACTTTATAATCAACTGAAAAATATTTTCTCAAATGAAACTATACTCTGAGAAAGAAACAATATTTATCCTGTTGTCCAATGTATATAGTAATACTGACAGTTTATACTAATAATAATGGAACAAAAATAAAATAACGAAAACATAAAAGCAGTGTTTTTTAACAATGACGATAATAAAATATAAACATAAATTATTCAGTCCTCTGATTCGATTAGGTTTGGCCTTTTTTTAAAGATTTGAGGTTTCTATAGAATGTATGGTACTGTTCAGGTATATATAAGGGAGTAGGCTGATCAGGCTTTCCTTCTTCTTGAATGTTATTTTCGGCCTTTCTGAGTATGCTTTGGTCAATTTTGGATACTCTTCTTTACACTTCAGCATTATTCTCTCAGAATCTTTTTCGGACTTCCTTTTCAATCTGGCCATAATGTTCAGAGAAAAGATTTGAATATATCCGAGAATTTTATATCTCCTACTATATAGATAGGAATTTCCAGTCTTAATCTAGACATCTCCTCCTAACATTGTGAAATACTGAGATATATTCAAATATATTTGCCTTTCACAAAGGGGACATAATGGGTGACACAAGTTAAATAGATGAATAGTAGGTTATTTCAAGTTATCCGTATAATTCACTGGATTTTTGTTCATTTTCGTGAAAGGCTAGGTTATACGAAATATGAATGATTTATAAATTGAATATAGGGAGACCGAGTATAGCACTGGATTCCTCGTAAAATTTGGAACTAGAAAAGGCCAAAAAGTGAAAATCGCATTTTTTCAAGTTGTCTGACCCTTGTTCTAGCACAGCGATATGTAAAATTGGAATAGAAACAACTTTTTCGATATTCGAACAAATAAGCCTACTTTCAGCGATTAATTTGAAAAAAATGTCACTTTTGACATGTAGCGAAAGTCACGTGACCCCGATTGAGTAGGCCATTTTTCATCTCTTTGGAAGCAAAACTCAACGTCCAACTCGAATTCCAAAATTAGTCATTAATAAAAGTTTTTCCCATATGATGCCGACTTTATGAATGACACTGTATATCAGTATACAACAAAAGATTATGTGCGAATGTCGATTGACGCTTCACATTGATACTTAAATGATCACGACAGAGAATACCCAATAGATTTTTGATTGATTGATTGATGGGATTTCGGGATCCTAGTTCTAGTTGTATAAATCTGGCTCAGCCAATGCATTATGTTTTCGAGAATCTATGACATTTTTACTGTCAACATTTTGGTGAACAATCATTCCCGATAATCCGTTTTATGCAGAATAGGATGACGTTAATTTCTCTCTGTAATATACTTGTACGCTTTTTTTTTGAATGCGACTGTACCTTAGTTCCTCAATGTTCGACGCGACTTCACAGGCGTACAGGGTGGGCAAAATTGGGCGTTTTCACCGTCTATCTCAATAACTAGAGGAGTTATCGAAAAACCGATATACATGTTCCGGGTTCGATTTTAGAGAAACCTCGAATGGTACAATCAAAATTTCGATATCTTCATTCGTTTTAGAGATACAGGGGGAAATTGAAAATTTGCCGATTTCGATTTTATTTTCTGACTACTTTACGGTGAGAGGTATCAAGAAATTTCAAACGTATATTTATACAGTATGATGCGTGGAATCCATTGGCATCATCAGACATTTTATACATGGTGACGTTGAGAAAATACGGCAGCCAATTATGTTTTTTTCTAATGGAACACCCCGTATATTTTGGCACAGTTGAATAGTCCCAGGCGTTCTTATTACAAATATATATATAACCCTACCTTTTCCTTCCACAATTTCAGATATATTCGCAAAAATATATTCAGTGTGTCACATTTCTTATGGTTACACCCCCGTATCTTCTGTATGAATAATTGATGGAAACATTAACAATCATAAAATTTTGTGGCAGAATGCCTGAATATGATACTTTACCCATTATTTCTAGTATGCCTTAATATTTTTGCGTTCAAAGAGATAATAAATAAGATATATATTTGAAATTGAAACGGGAACTTACGGGGTGTTCTATAAAAAAAATTGTTCTGTATCTGGAATTTGGACATCTTCTATAAGGCTATATTTTTCAACGCAACCTACTGATTTCCTAATTGAGTAAATTATTGGTCTTATTTCTGTATCTCAAATGTCTTGATAACAATGATATCAAATCGAATAATTTCCCATTTTATTCCTCACCAAATATCCATTTATCTGGACATTACATTCCCTATGATATTGATTTTCCACATTTGGTGAATATATACAGAGTGTCATTTTCAACCTCGATTCTGCCTGTTGATAGCATTATCCAGAAATATCGATGATTCCATAGCTGCTGGCGAGCAGTGTTATCATTGGAGATGATCCCACTTGGTCCATGACTCCATGAGTGTATCATTTGTATCTTTCTGACAGTTGAGAATTTTTGAATCCTACCTCAATTATTTTTACAGAAGATACGGGGGTGTAACCATAAGAAATGTGACACACTGAATATATTTTTGCGAATATATCTGGAATTGTGGAAGGAAAAGGTAGGGTTATATATATATATTTGTAATGAGAACGTCTGGGACTATTCAACTGTGCCAAAATATACGGGGTGTTCCATTAGAAAAAACATAATTGGCTGCCGTATCTTTTCAACGTCACCCTGTATAAAACTTCTGATGATGCCAATGGATTCCACGCATCATACTGTATAAATATACGTTCGAAATTTTTTGATACCTCTCACCGTAAAGTAGTCAGAAAATAAAATCGAAATCGGCAAATTTTCAATTTCCCCCTGTATCTCTAAAACGAATGAAGATATCGAAATTTTGATTAAGCCATTCGAGGTTTCTCCAAAATCGAACCCGGAACATGTATATCGGTTTTTCGATAACTCCTCTAGTTATTGAGATAGACGGTGAAAACGCCCAATTTTGCCCACCCTGTACACATCAATTTCTGAAGGGGAAATAAATTCGCTAGTTCCACATGAAGAGAAGAATTTTCATTCTTTCTTTTCTTCGCGTTTTCAGAAAACTTGTGGAAGACCCGCAAACCGCCTGGTCCTCTGTCTTGGGAAGAAGCTGCTTCTCATGCGGGAGATACAAACGAAGACTCGAACGATGTCCGAGTGACCGACATGCAAGTTTGGTCGGTGAGCAAATGCGCCAAAGTGTTCTCCGATACGATCGGCGATCTGAAAGAGGCCTTGACCGACAAGAGCTTCCTGGTGTGGGACAAAGACGACAAATCAGCGATGGATTTCGTTACCGCTTGTGCGAATATACGAGCGCACATTTTTTCCATTCCGACCAAGTCGAGGTTCGCTATCAAATGTGAGTGTTTGAAGTTTAATTTTTTTTCCTCAGGCTTGTCTTTGAAACTTTGGTTTCTAGGCCAATCATTTCAGCGTTTAAAATCAAAAATGGGGGAAAATAGCAAAACGATTTAACCCATTAGTGTACAAAGTTCGGAAACAATTGATTTCAAGTTTTCTCTCTGTAAGAAGTTTGTTTTTGTGATTGATAGAATACTTTTTGTTGAAAAATTTACCAGAATTCATTATGAAGAAAAAAATTGAGTTTCCCTTAAAAGGGACGCTGTAGACCTGATAACATAACATAACAATTATTGCATACATGGACTAAATTGAAACAGTATTTTTGGTGTAACCGTTTATCGCACTTGGAAAGATGTTGGTGCTAACAAATACTTTTTGAGAGAAGTTAACGAGTTATCATTATCTGATGACCGGTTCATCCGTTCGTTGGGATATTTTCCAGAACAGGATGATGAGAGAACTCCGAAGGTAACAATGACACTCAGTTCCAAAAAAAGTGACACACTTGATATTTGACCTATCTTCTTAAAAAAAAAATAGTAGGCCGATTTTTATTTCTTTTATTTGTTGGTAGGTAATGCATTTGTCTTAGAAAAAAAATAAAGAGGTGAAAATGTTTTCAAAGCCTCCTTGATGGTGGTGGAATAACTCGAACCATGATTTATTCCTAATTTTTGACTCACCCTGTGTGACAATTGAGTAATGGCATAGAAAGTGCTTGCATCCTATACGAAAGAGGCTTCTTTTGCGAGATTTTGTTTTTTTATTCATTGATTTATCTCTAAAATTTTCCGAATTACAGCTTATTTGCTGAAACCATACGCTTATCCCACAAATTAAATTTATTGAAGGATCAGAGTAGTAAAAATTGATTGGGTTGTACTCTGGTAGGATCATATTGTCTTAAAAAAAAAACAAATGCCGTTGCCATAGCAACTAATTTGTTGTATGCCTCCATATTTGACCATTTGTCGTTGTGTCATTAATTAAGTATCTTGTTTTATTGACTAAAATTACATATAATGCCTCAAATAAATCCTGAACAAGTAGCAAGATTAGTTGCGTTAGCAAACGATGGGCGTAGTAAACGTTAAGCCGCTCGTGCAGTGGAAGTTCATGAAGCAACTGCTCGTAGAGCAATCCGCAAGTACGAACAAACAGGATGCACCGCTCGTAGGGTCGGTTCTGGTCGCCCCCGAAAAACTTCTCCAAGAGATGATCGCTTCTTGAGATTGCGGATTTTACGGAATCGATCAAATACTGCCGTACATGTTCACCAAGATCTTCGCCAGTTGCTGGAGGAGGCAATACACGGTATTAAGCAATCATCCCAATTTATAATTTTGTGTTTAATAAAAATGATTAAAATTGGTATCAGTTTATTTCATTAGAAAATTGTTTCTAGTTAAATTCAGAAAGTTGGGAATCTGCAAGGATTCAGCAAAAAAGCTGTAATTTGGAAAATTTTAGAGATAAATCAATGAATAAAAAAACAAAATGCTCGCAAAAGAAGCCTCTTTCGTATAGGGTGCAAGCACTTTCTATTCCATTACTCAATTAACACACAGGGTGAGTCAAAAATTAAGAATAAATCATGGTTCTAGTTATTCCACCACCATCAAGGAGGCTTTGAAAACATTTTCACCTCTTTATTTTTTTTTAAGGCAAATGCATTACCTACCATCAAATAAAAAAAATATTAAAATCGGCCTACTATTTTTTTTTTAAAGATAGGTCAAATATCAAGTGCGTCACTTTTTTTGTTTAATTTATTTTCAGTCAAAATATAATTATTAGTATGCCTTGGCCGCGAAGTTACTTTTTGGCCTGCCAAAAGAAAAGTTGTCGCCGAGGCCGTTTCTGGGCGGGGCAAGATGATCTTGAGGAGGTCGCCAAGAAGTTTTGCGGCCATGGTATACACACTATTTTGGCGGTTATTGATAAAACGAAAATATGATCTGACCATGATGTGTCACTGAATAACCTTGCTTTTCTCGTGGTTTCGGAATATCAAAGTCGAAAGTGACGTTTGGTTTGGCAGCTGTTGCTACGACTGCACAAAAAAGGATTTTCTATACATATATAGATATTTCTGCTTAACTATTGCAAAACCTGATTATTGAACCAACAACAGAACAGCTTGAAAAACTCAACTGATGTTACATTAGGAGACTTCCTTTCTACATAGATCTCTTTCGAGGCCTCTGGAGGTTTCTGCTAAACATATACCCGCTGGATGAGACATACATCCACCATCAGTTGATTTTTGACAAGTTCATTTATGTATCACCACTACACATATTCTGGACTGAACTGATTCAATGTTATGTGGTAAATTCTGAAAAATAGATGATGAGAAAAAAAGAACTAGCATCCATTATGAATTGATAACACTTTCGACACAAAACAGATGGTAAATAACGTATTAGCTCAGATGATCGGATATCTGATCATTGAATATAACTTCAAAAACGTAATAACTGATTGGTAATATTAAACGTTCAAGGGTAATGACATTATTGTAGGTCCCTTTAAACGGACATTATCATTATACACTAATGGGTTAAACCTTCACAGAAGTTATATTTCAGTGTTGAATGGATCTATACAAATTTGCTTCCTCGGACAAGACCAGCAGACCAGCAGAGAAAAATTGCAAAAGAGTCGCAAAATGGTGAAAACAAAGGAAATATAATCCTCGATCGTTCTCTAATTTTGCGACCATTTCCAAGTTTGGTATCATCAATAAATTATTTATTCATACTTTTGTTAATAACTCAAACTTGAAGAGATGTTTCTATCTATGTCACGAATTTCTCTGAAAATTTGCCACCTCCGCCGATGACGGCAACATATTTTTTATTTTACTTTACAATAAAAAACTGTGTTCGCAACTTGAATTGGTTATGGAAATAATGCAAAAGGTTTTCGAGTTGGTCTCAAATGTACGGAGTACGTACATTCTGAATCTAGTCTGAAAATAGCTGATGGTGAAGGATATAGCTAGCGAATAGCTAACGAATCAAGAACGAATGAAAAAAATAGAAGAAGTAAAACTGGTAAACAAAAACATACATAACCCGAAATGCACCCAGAGCAGGAATGCAGAGGGTAGTTGGCTTCATTCTGACAGGTTAGGGTTTTATTGTTTTTGCATTGAAATATTTCGAAAGGAGCTCGATCCTAAACGAAAATATCATTGAATCAATGAATCACTATCGACTACATTCAATGATACTATCCTTCCTAATTTTCTGTCATCGGTCAGAACAGAATGAAGGTCTGACTGAAGAACTGCTGTGCAGGTTCTGTCAGGAAAACGAGGAAACAGCAGTACACATACTTTGCCACTGTGAGGGCTTGTCAAGACTAAGGTTCCTTACGCTGGGTGAGGAAAAACCAGAAGCCCAAGATACACAGGGGATCTGAAAGCTCTGAAAGCTAGCCTATGGAGTCTCATAGAGAAGGCGGGGCTAGCCGAAGAACTCTTATCGATTTTGAGGGCAGTCACAATAGATCTGAAAAGGTCGCGAGGTAGAAACAGATAGCCCGAGGGCCTCATTCTAAATCTAATCTAATCACATGCTTTCGATTTATGGTGTGTGTCGCCAAAGTGCAGCTGCAGCATTTGGCTTGTCCGGTCCTGGGATTTTTTGCGGATGTTTCGAATCATATCTATCAATTATCAAGAAGAAGAAAGAACATAGAGTATTTTTCAGCCATCGCTGGAAACATCATCCCTGCCATCGCGACTGCCAACGCCATCATAGCAGGTCTCGTTGTTCTCCAAGCTTTCAGGGTGCTCGTCCAAGAGTACGAGAAATGCCCGTCCGTCTATCTCAGGAAAAAGTCCGTTCATTCTAAATTCCTATTGGCCGCTGACAAACAAGTGAGTAATTTTGCGCTAATCATGCAATGTTTTTTTTTTTTCGAAATGTTTTTTGTCGCCTATGAATTTTGGTCTGAAAAACACTAAATCACGAATTTTTGTCTTGAAAAGCACTAATTTGATGATGAAAATGTGAACAAACCATGCATTAGTTATCGAAATATTTCACAACGTTCAAACATTCACCTTTGCTTTCCACCTGTCTTGGATACACATTTACAATTTACCCTTGAGTGCCTAAATCTTTTGACCCATTCCTATCACGTGATATGTAGAGATTCGTGTTTTTTTATCATCATTTTTCGTAATGAAATTGTGGAGGCTGAGTTTGGTCAGGGAGATTCATTCTGGTCCGTCCACTAATAGCAGCCCATTGTGATCATTTGTGTGGTGATTTAAGCTTTCAAGGGTTTTTTTCCTTCCTTCCAAGACCTCGAGGGTCTCGTTAATGCGCATGTGTTCACAATGTATCACGTAGACAATGAGGTTTGGGAATGATTCGAAAGTTATAATAGGCTGTCGTCTTTTTTCATCATAGGACAATAATTTATGTATGACTGAAAAACTTACATTTCTTGCCAACTTTTTCAGTCATACATAAATTATTGTCCTATGATGAAAAAAGAAGGGTGAATTGTAAATGTAAACTCTTTATTATCACACCCGGGATTGGTGCAGTGGAAAACCGCTCGTCTCATGACCGCGAGGTCGTGGGTTCGATGCCCAGCCAGAACAAGGAACTTTTCTCAATATTTTATTTATGAATCAAATATTGTAAAGTTTCGGAGCATCGGATAGCGATAGTTCTGCACGAATTCCAATTCACAGTGCCGCTCCTAAAGTGGCGCATGAAGTTAGTAACAAAGCCTACACAGAACACGCGATTACCCAGCGAATTTATTACATACAGAGACACCAAGTACTCATATCTAGAGTTCTTGACACTGCTGTTTTGACGTTTTTTGTATATCAGAGTACGGACACTATGACAAGCACTGACAATCAGACATAACCACAAATAAATTGATGGAAAAGGCGGGAACTGACAGTACACGGACGTACATGACATAAATTTCAAAGGTTTGACAAATTGAGAGAATTAGGAGAAATATGCAAGTTTGTGCAGTTTCCAACTATGAGAACACAGGAAACCAATTCACTATATTTGAACTTTCATTGGATAACGTAATTCTACAAAAATGGAAACAGAATAATAGAATTATGATGCGACCGGCATGGAATATAGGTTCAGGCCACAAAATTTGCTAGTTATTCAAATTTCTTGGTGGGATATACAATATTTTTCAACGCATTTTTATCAGGTACACTTCAGAACGGAAGATTTGATGTTGAAAAATAGGATCGTCTTGAGAAAAAGAGCCGAACCAACATTTTATAAACTGAGCGAGTATCGAAAAGAACCTTATTCCAGTTTAGAACCAAGAAGAAACAAAAAACTTGCAGGTAATGAAATTCATTTCTCTGGTTATTGCTTGTGATGGAATGATAGAGCAGAGATCATAATAGGATAGAGCAGAGATCATAATAGCCACCATGGACATCATGGTCGATCATTTGATGATGAAACAGCAGCAACTTCCTGAATTGACTGACTCAAACATATTTCACATTCCTGTTCAGCCAAGAATTCTTCAGATCATCTTCGTATACGAACTCATATGATAATTTTGTGAAAACATAGTTACTTTGTGGAACTCTGATGTATCCAGATATATCTATATCAAAGAGTTGAATATATTGTTCGTGTATCGCTTCTTCAAAGTTGAAATCCCAAATCTGAATGTGCATGTTCATGCGTAGTTAAAAAGTGCTAGACGACTACATAGCTCTTAGTGATTTCGAACCACTCCTTGAGTACCAAGATACCAGCAAGATACTATTAGAGGACAGAACAAGAAAGCTTTACGAGTGCACCATTTATGTTAGGTATTGAAAATGATCTTCCGATGGCCGGGTTCCAACCAACAATCCCCTTTAGCAATGTGATCGGCGATCGAGCGCTGAAGTCCATTTATACCTAATTTCGTATGTCTTGGAGAACCTTCATTATTAACTGTAACTGAACTCAGCTCTTATTGTTGCCATATCATTTGTTCATTTATCAATTACTTATTACCTACCACTCTTTTACAAGTGAAATTGTTCCATACGAAATGAAAGTATGTTTCATTATTTGAAATTTATCAGTTTTTACCCCAATCTGAACTTTCGTGATGAAAAAATATTCAACTGAACGTATATATTATTATATACCTACATATAAGAGACTAATTTCATAGGAATACTATATGTATTTCGTTGGTATATAAGTACATTCCAACTTGATATCGACCTCCATTGAGGTCCTTCAGCCTTATCATTCAATATTTCTAGAAGAAATAATTTTCTAATCAATTTATCGTACCCTTTTACCCACTCGAGGAGACGCTATGCACTCTCATACAAAAATCAAAGACAGAGAAAGATATATGGATGTACTCTTCCCAGGACTTGTGGAGGACGGAAGATGCGAGGATCCTTTATCTAAGTGAAAAACATATTCTTGTCCTTGTCTGGCAAAACATATGATTTGCTTCAAAATCGTTTGTGGTTATGTTTGATTGTCATTGCTTGTCTAGTGTCCGTACTCTAATGTACAAAAAACGTCAAAAACAGCAGTGTGAAGTACATTCAGGAACTCTACTTATATCTAATGAAGTTTCTGGAGAGGCAACCTTATAACATCCAAGAAAGCTGCGGAAAGCATTGTAAGAAGTTAATCGAAGGAAAATCGTGTTGACTACCTACTAATTATTCGTGAAATAGAGGATAGTTCACATTCGTATTCAGAAATTCGTGTTTTAAGACGAAACTACTCAGGTAGCTAACACTATTTTGTGACAGGTGACGAAAGCGAATCCGACTTGTTACGTGTGCAGCCCTCAGCCATTCGTCAATGTGTTCGTGAATGTTGAAACTATGACGGTGAAAGAATTCGAGACGGAATTGTTGAAGAAGCATTTGAATATGGTCGCCCCAGATGCTGTTTTGGACGGTAAAGGGATGGTCGTTATTTCTTCGGAGGAAGGGGAGACAGAGGTTTGTGATAAAAATTGTTTACCTTCAAGAAATATAAAAACGAATTCGAAGAAGTTCAGCTAACTTTAGGAGAGAGAAAATATGTCTTCCCCATCTATCTTTGTCTTCAGTGTTCCAACGTGAAATAGTGAAAATTTTTGGTTGGCAACACTGGAAATGAGAAGACATGGAGAAGAAGATCGTATCAACCTCAATATAAAAAAGGTGAGATTTGTTGGCACACTAAAGACAAGAATAGGATAGAATAGAATTTATTACATCAATGGTATTCAAGTTATGGACACGTCGTACAAAGAAACAGAAAAGTTACAAACAGAAAAAGTACAAATGATAAAATTAATTAAAATTGAAATAGCACTAGTTCTCTACAAGAGTCATTGATCAACTCAGTGAAGTGGTTGATTTTGTAAAGACTCATTCCGACAAGAATCTTTCTCAACGTTTTTTTTTTAAACGATCTAACGACAGGTCTCTGATATATTTGGGAAGAGAATTGAAAAGAGATATTCCTATGGATTTGCTGTTTCCTAATCTTTTTCTATGAGGTACATTGTTTTGCTTATATCTGGTATTATGATCCTGAATGCCTGAGTGTGTGGTAAATGTTGATAATTTATTTAACATGTATGAGATTTTCATAGACAATTTGTGGATATAAGGATATAAGCTTTGAAAAAATGGTTGGCAATGTTCAGTATAATTAACCTTTGCAATGCTTCGTAGATAGATGAGATAGATGAGGAAGACTAGAATGAGTAGACTAAATAGAGTGACGACAATAAACCTCCAAATGGCTGCCGTTTCCGGACTGCCATTCGTAGTCAAGTCACTGAACAGCCAAAAATCTGAAGGGTATCTCCCATGCAGTAATGAATTTGCACCTTTGAAGTGCCCACTTGATGTTATGTTTAGATATTTGATATTTTCATCCTATTATCTGAAGAATCTGAAGCTCACGGTCCCAAAAGACGGATTCTAATAGTTAATAATATCCAAGGTATTGACGTATAGAGTTTCATGTCTGATTGTTGGATGTTTTGTGTCCAAAGACCAAAAAACAGAGACAAAGTGAAATGGAATGCGTTTAACTGAATCAAGAAAAAAATACAGGTGGATGCACCTCAATATCAGAGGTCACTCTAGGGAAGACATATTTTTTCTCTCTCAAGGCTAGCTGAACTTCTCTATAGATCCTTCAAATCTGAAAATGACATTTTAAGATTGTTTTTGTACGACCTATATACAGAGTCACCCATTTGGAAGGGGGCCAACCTCGTGAATATTATATTTATGAAGCGATTTTCACTATTGTTTTTTTGAGTAAAACACTCACTTTACTCCCTCGGGTAAAAAAGCACTTTCGTTCGTTTTCAGGAATGTTTCTGGCAACAAATCTACCACTATGTTCGCAGCAGCTTCTCCAATAGTTTTATCACACATTTTAGCATTATTCATTAAAAAAAAAACTTGGGAAAACAGTTTAGAGAGTACACATTTTCGATGTTCACAAAAAGCAATATGGCTACTCTCATTTATCGGTCGTCATGATGATAAAATTTAATTTTCTGTTCCATCCAGTTTTTTTTTATTTTCGTGAATTGCACATTTTATATGGACAATTAATTACATTTCAAGATTACTTCAATTGAAATGGTTGGGTCGTGCTGTATGTGCTTTTTCCCCCAGTGCATTGTAGCCCACCTCGGTGAAAAATCATGCACTTTACTCCCTCGAACATATAATAAGCGAGTGGACTGATTTTTTTATTTCTCAAATACCTTTCAATTTCATATCTTTCTGGAATTCTCCGGTCGATTTCAAGGTGAAAATCATCAATAATGCCATTTTTTAAGTAGGTGCCAATCATAGCACAGTTGCCATATGTTGAAATACGATTGGAAACTTCAGAAATAATAGTTATTCAATAATTCACAAATTTTCAATTATGTATTGATAATATTCCTAATTATCAATAAAAAAAATATTGTCTCAAAATTTTCCCTCATGTGTTTTGCCTTATTGCTTATTTGTGTGAATAATAATTATTATATCAATTCACACTAGAGGACATTTCAACCGGTAAACGTGAAACACGGCGCACGAATTGTGGGCGGTGCCTTGTCAGTTCTCAGCATTCAGCACATTGTTGCCAAGTCTTCAACATTCACCTGATATTTTGTTATGGAGAATAAGAAATATTTGGACATGCTGGTTGACCGAAAAAGTCAAGAATGAACAATAGCATGGTGGCTTCTTATTATGTTTTATTCAACAACAGGACTCTTATATGTTTTTGATAACTTGATTTTAATTGGTAATTTGACAACCTTTCTTCATGAGTGAGAATGGATGATCATCTGACCAATAACGAAACAGCATTAAAACTAACGTCATCATTTGTTTGACGTATCGCCAAATGGCGGCCATGACGGTACGTTTGAAATGAGCTCTGGGTTTCAACAATTTTGAACAACGCATACACTCATTATTTACAAAAAAAACTCGTGAGAAGTGTTGCAAAAATTAATTTAGGCCCCTATCGACACATTGGGGTAACTGACTGCCAATAATTCATTATCAGTTTACTCGCCCATCTACTATTCAACATGTGACGGGAAAGAAATTTGACATTTCATCTCTTGATAGGTAACAAAATATCACTGTTTATAAATTTTGTTTTCACGGGAAAAATCATTCATTCAAGTACTATTTAATCATTAGCTAGTTGAATAAGAATTCGTTTTGATATTACTTGAATAATTCGAAATTTAATAAAAAACTGTTTCACTCTTTGATAAATAGCTACAGAACCTCAAATAAAATCAATATACTGACAATCGACTTGAGAAAATGAAAAAAATCGAAATGTTGATTCCGTTTGTAGGCGAACGATAACAAAAAGTTGAAAGAAATCGGCATAGTCGATGGTAGCATTTTGAAATGCGATGACTTCCTCCAAAACTACGAACTCACTGTAGCAATCAATCACTACGAAGCCAAGGAGAAAGACGATCCTCTGTTCAAGGTCGTCGCGAATCCGGAAGACTTGAAAGCTAAGGAATCTCAAAATGGTAAGTCGAACGTGAATTTCATCATACTGTCCGACAAGAACAGGACTTTTTTCACGAGAAAAATACAGAGAAGTGCACAAAAAATGGCCAGGATTGTATGTTTTGAATTATTCTAGATAGGGTTTGGAAAATTGGTGGGTAGCAAGTATACCAAATTGTTCATTAATTGATGAAACAATTTTTCTTTTACCACTTCCAGTTCCACCGGAAACGACCCCAACTTTTGATTTTCAAATGGGGCACCCTGTATCGTATTCCATGATCGGTTAGAAATTATCATGACGAATTCAACGATACCGGGTTTGATTCAAACGATTACAAAGATATTTGAGTTCGAAGTTTCCATATGCTCAATGGGTGTGACTTCACAATATCAAAACTTCTTTCTCTGTCACACTCATTGAGCATATGGAAACTTAGAACTCGAATATCTGCGTAATCGTTTCAAATAACCCTATCAAACCCTGTATCGATGAATTCGTTATGACAATTTCTAACCGATTCTGGAATACAATACATTTAAAAATTAGAAGTTGGGGTCGTTTCCAGTAAAAAGCAATTCGGTATACTGGCTGCCTACCAATTTTCAAAACTCTATCTCGAAAAGTTACAGTCCTGGCCATTTTTTGTGCACTTCTCTGTATACAATTTTGTTATCCTTCGGATTAGAGACACTAATGTGTACCTAGATTCGCAATCCTTGCGACATTTTTCGTTGGTCTGGATGGTTTTCAAAGCAAAATTAGCAGTTTTTGATAGGAAAAACTTACAACTTCAACTAGGAAAAAGCCAATTACCCTAAAGTGGAATGCAATGGTAACAAAGAAAGAGAAACTCAAAGTCACCACCACAATAGTTCAAAAAATGAACGAAAATGTTAGATAACGAGAGAAAAACAACTATTTTCCTGGCTATATGCCTCGCACAACATTGAATTGGAGTCTTTTCTACCTTGAACGAGAGAGAGGAAAGTTATCTCCTCTTCCATCTTTCTCTTCAATACTACCAACGTGGCCGCATTGAAATATAGAGAGGTTCGATAAATTTTTCCTTGTCTAACATCTAGTTTGTGCCACTCAACCATTTTAGAATTCTACAGAGTGTCAAATTGAAGATATTAACAAAATATGTCATAATAAGTATGATTGTAAATCGGCCATTCCGAATTCAACTGGTCAGTACTGTCAGTAAATCCACTGACTATGCTGAAAATGTGTGTTCCGACATAAAAAATCAAAAATCTGCAGATTCAGTATTGTCAAGTAATTTCATTTAAAAAATTTGAAAGGTTATCAGTCAATGACATTTATGACATAGATTTATCACATCATTATAATTTGAACTAACTGAAATATCTCACTAGAGCTGAACTTGCATCAGTTATTATGTGTTCTTTGGAAAGAATTTGATTAGTAGTAAAATTCGAAATTCTGATATTTTCAATATTTGTCTATCCCCATGAACTTTTCCTTGTCATGATGGAATGCAATACCGTGTATGTGATATTATTATCTATTTGAATAGAGGAATTCATGAGGTAGAAATTAGACGACGTGGAGCGTTTATTTCTACTGAAGATTCATCACGACTTAGAGCACATAATTCAAGTCGATGCAGAATATTCTAAACAGCCAAAATCAAATGAATGACACCCTGTAGCTCGAAAACTGGTCATATAGGATCGATCTGTAAATCTGACTGTGTAATAAGGACGCTAATATCTGAAACATATCGAATTTTCAGAAAAATTAGCCGAAAGCCATTTTCCCTACTAAATGTGCGGGGTCCTTTCTTATATTAATTGTGATTGACATGCCAAAACTTCAAAATTATATTTTGTCGAGTTTTCCTTTTTTGTGATGCTGATTCTGTTGAACATTTTAATATTATAGGGCAAGAAGATGGTAGTAAGAGCGATAAAAAACAAAATGCTGAAGAAAGCGACGAAGACGATTTGATGGTGGTCGATGAACAAGAGGATCCTCAAGAGGGGTCGTCCAAAAGGAGGAAACTCAATCCGCCTGATGAGAGGGTGGATGAGGATGATGATTTGTGTATAGTTGAAGCTTAATTTTCATTACCTGCCTTCAATAAAAAAAACATTTTTTTTTCGTGTTGTGATAATATAATTCATTCGAAATTTTGCACAGGTGCCTTTTATTCATAACAGGTGAGTACCCAATATATTCCTTCCATTCATTGTATTTTTACCAAATTCCAGGATGGAGGAAACTTCACCATACAACAGGGACTAAAAACACCCCAAGCAACACCATTTAATGTACTTCAGGGATTTAAAAGGTACCTTTATTCTCTATTTTCGGGGAAAAAAGAGGTACTTTGAAATCCTAGGGAATTAAAGTTCCACTTTTTTCCCCGAAATCTGGTTCCCCATAGTTACTGAGGTAGTTGATGTTGATATGGTAACACTCAGCCCCTTCGATGACGTTTTAGAAATCGCTTACCTACCGTTTAGCAATGAACCATTTCTAATCTATGAATGAACTCAATAGAAAAACCTGGAAGGGAGACAGCAGTTCTCTCGAATAGCACAAAGTGTGTCATGGGCAACTGCAACAAAGATAGCATGATTTACGGTAACCTGTCTTTTTCCTACTCGTGTTGTTCAATGGTGGATTGGTGTTCACGTTTTCATTCATTCTGTTTGCAAATAGCAATATGGTTGTAGAGAAGATATTGCTATCATAGCAAGATTCGAAAAAGTGGAATTCTAATCATCGATTTTTGGAAATATGATCTGTCAATTTCAATGACATCTGGTCAGCTTTCTTGCTATCTCGGCAACATTAATTTCGTGCTTGCTATCTTATAACAAGGTAGTGGATTTTTTGTTTTAGCACTACAAATTCTTCCAAAAAATCACGATTTGTTTCATCCGGCTTTTAGTTTTTCTTCTCATTTCGGGGACATGATTGATTACTTGCACCAGTCGCACAACGACGACCAAATTCAGCAAATACAAAATCTCTCAATTTGAACAATATAATTTTGTAAAATGTCAGGGCAGGACCGACTAAATTGAGAGGTTAGATAATCATGAACTCTTCTTCATGAAATAAAGGCAAAATGGATACCTAACACTTAAACAATGAGTTGAAAGCAGTGTTGTCAGCTCAAAAATTCTCAATTTTTCAACAATATTGCTATCACTTGAACTTATAACCAGTCTTGCAGTTACAGAACTTCATAGAAAGATTGTTATATGTTATGATCATAACAATATTATTATTTTAGCAATATTATAACAAGATCCGAACAGAATCGACCCGATTAAAGTACTTCAAATTTTTTTCTCTCATCTAAACAGACAAGAAAGTGAAGATATAAGTTCATTGTCTTTGGTTATGTGAAATATCTATATTCATTTGGCGTGTTTTGTTTTATCAAAAGGGCTGAATTTTTTGGTGTGAACAGTGTGAACTGATTGTTGGGAAGGTTTGTGATTTCATATTGATAAACAATAATAATAATATCATTTATTGATGAGAGAAAGAAATATACAGTAATAAAAGGAAATGCATAAATGATACATACTCGATAAGTGAGCGAACACTTGTTTCGAAATAAAAATATGAAAATATCTTAATCAACTATACCAGATTTTTCCAATACAATAAAATAAAATAACATTACGTAATGATGCATAAGTGATACACACTCAAGTGAAAATATTCAAAGAATCGACACAGTATAAGATATAAGATGAGCAGCACACATAAAAAATATATAAAAAAATATAAATATAAATGGGAATAGGTAATATTATAATTCAATAAGTGAATAAAATAAAGACAACATACAAATAAGATCATCTTAAAATGACAACAATTTTAAAATTAAAAGAATAGTTATGATGACAGGATTAAAAACTAGTATAAACAAGACTAGTATAAAAAAAAACAGTCAGTTGGAGAGATTTGATTCAACAATCTCCTTACATCTGGCTCTTGGTGTTTCGTGAATGAAACGTTTCACATTATTCTTAAAAATGGAAAAGTTCATTATTCCCTTTATATTGTCAGGAATGGAGTTGAACGCCTTGGGTGCTATGTAAGAAAATGATCGCTGACAGACAGTTTTACTCATCTGTGGAATAACATAGTGGTGTCTTTGTCGGGTACCATAGGTATGCTTAGGTAGACTGGTGTGATTTTTTATTTTTTTATATTTCAATATAACATTCATACAATATAGTTGTCTCAGATCCAGTACCCCGCATTCCTTATATAAAAGATCTGTATGAGTGAGTTATTGTGTCGCCTCTGGATGCAAGAACGAGCAAGACAAAATGAAATTGTCATTCCATGGGTAAGTCGAATATTGTTCGGATTTTTGGAAAATATAGTTCTTGAAATGATCACCAGTTAGGTGTACAATATGTTGCCAGTCTCAGAATATGTTCAAAAACTATACCTATATTATTTGTCAAAGTTAAATACTTCCATGACTTTTCCATTAACATATTAAGTTATATTATTTGTTGCGGTTTTCCATTCAAAACACCAGACATTCTTGAATTATGGATTAAGGCAGTTCATAGAGAGAATTTGGCTCCATCTAAAACCAGTAAGCTTTGGCGAGAGCATTTCCTGCCAACTGATTATTTAGACATACCAGGTCCTACTAGGTTATTGAAACCAGGTGCTGTACCCGGTATATTTTCATTTCCTACGCACTTGTTACCAAAAAATGCTGATCCTCGCGGGTTAATAAGAAAACTCATAGGTACCTAGTTGATTAATTATGAAAAAGAAGTATGTTTGCACCTCTTTAAAATGAAAAAACTATAGCTAGTAATTTATATTCTGAATGCATCTGTGGACGTTCATAACTTGGATCCTGGAAGATGTTTCTCATATTATGTACTTTGATTTGCCTACGACTTCCAGCTCCGAAGGTTCAAAGTTCATCAATAAAGAAACCCAAATTGTTCCATTGGAGAAGGATAATGTATTGAGAATTGTATTTTCTCAAATTCTAATAGGGATATGTTTGTAAGCAGTGACCTAATGGAAAAATAGGAATCTATGGAAATTATGCTCGAAATGGACCTTAGGTATACTCAATACTATTCAAGAACCTCTTTTCAAATTTTTCCTTTCCTATCATTTTTCTTTTCCTTCTTATAGTGCTGAGACATATTGTGCTTCGCTCACCCTGTACAATATATTGTGACATTTGAATAAAAACAAATAATTTCAATTTTGTATACATTTGACTTCCTGATCCTGTAAGAATAAAAATGAAATTTCATGTTTAAGTCAATAAAAAAATCAATACTTTTTTTTATGATAATTTATAGCAACATTATCCTTTTTCCGAAATGAATATTTTCGGAATATTATAATATTTATAATATAATAAAATCAAAAAACGAGAATATATTTCAAATAATACAAGTGAGATAGAAACCGTAACCACTGCATATTGTCTGAACAATATTTTTGCCTCACTCATGGTTTACATTAAGTTCATTGGACACGGCTGGCCCTGTGGACATCATATATGGATTACTTCACCTGGACATTGGATATCTTCATGTGGACATCCTATTGTTGTCCAGATTGTGTCCATGGACAACCTTGACATATAATAGACACAATATGGATATCCAATGTACATCTTGTTTTATTAGGGAAAGTGTTTATTATAATGATGATTGGAAGTTGAGTTTTTGATTGTGCATTGATGAAAAGGTGAGCGATATCATTTCTCAGTTTTTCGTCAAGGCTATTACAAAAGCTTTATGGAAATGTTCCGCAAGTGTTTTTCAAAATTTTGTTACTTGAGTTCGTCGTTTTTTTTTTGACGGTAATCGAAAATGCCTTCAGGAGGTCCCAAGTTTCACGAATTGAAGTTTTACAATGCATATATCAACATTATGGAGGGGTAGCTCTGGGTAGTAATGAAAATTATCTTATGTAATACCACGATAGTGATACTACAGTTCTCAACACACTAAATGGACCACTCATAATTTGACTCTATTTCGAAGACCTGTATTTTTTGAAAAAATTGACCGATCTTCATGCGGTTTTCAATATCAGATGTGATATTTCATCGGCTTCAAAGAGAGCTATAGAACACTCTGAAAAAGTCCGTAGAACAAAACTTACACAGGGTGTAAAGTGGAACCATTACACTATGGTCTACACTTCCAATGCTGCCAGAACTCGAAAAAAAATTTTCTGATCAAGTCAGTCATATTATGATACAATGGGACCTTATCTCGGGACATTTTCGTGATTTCTCCTTAATTGGTCATTGGAACAAAAATTCAATTTTTTTTTCGAAAGTCTTGCATTTCTTGATTTTTTTCTCTAGAACTCCACTTGAGCTGACTATTGGGAAGAACTGTTCTCATGTTATGTGGAGGACAATGAAAGAAAAAAAAAAGCACTATTGTAGAATATACAGGATAATAAGAAAATAGGACAAAATCTCATTTCAGTGAAAAAAATCAAAAATGGTGACCAAAACCATGGCCCATTCTATTCAGTATATTCAGTAACGGCCTTCCTGATATTCATTATTCATATATTAGACTATTAACTCGAGAAGCTTTCGAAAATTCGCCTCTAATTGAAATAAGGATGAACATTTTCTATTCAAACTTGTTTCCTGATATCGATGATTCTTATCAACTGATTTTCAATATTTATTGCCCAACCATGAGACACATTGTTGTTCAAAATACTGAGTGTTTCACAACTTATCTGACAATTTCAACCACAACTACGATAATAAGTCCATCACATAAAAATATTATTGAAGTAAAACGAGATGGAAACTAAAATTTATAACACATCCACTAAAACTACCCGAAATGGGCTCTATAGGCGAAATATCACATTAGTGAATTCTTCAACATTATGAAGATCCAACTAGAAAGTCCTATATCCTAAAGTTCAGTACTTGGTAGGGCCTCCCCAATTTAACAAAACCTCATGTTATCGGTTTGGCATAGATTCTATGAGGTAGTTGATGAAGTCTTTTGATATTGACTACCATTCTTCTGATATAGCTTGGATACGGTTGTCATTATTTTGGGATGCCTCTCGCCTTCTCGATAGGTTAAGTTTCATTCGGCTCCACACATG